GGAGAGGCCAGCCCCAGCCCGACCCATTCTTAGCTGGACCATTCTTCCCCTGACAAAGCAGGTGAGAGAGCAGGGGACAGATGCCCCAACATCTTTAGAAGCATTAGGAGCTCAGAAGGGTCAGAGCACATCTCTGGGAAGATAGGTGCTTGGGGGTGGGGAGTTGGTGAGGGATTTCCTGAACTAAGTAGGGTCTGAACTCATCAGGCTTCTGTGGAAGTTTCCAGAACCATGTCTATCTCTAGCTCCCAGAAGCTTTCCCCCAAGGGCAAAGTGACTATTCTCTGGACAAAAATGAGCCCCACAGCATGGCTGCAAGGGTAGAAGTGCCAGATGTCTGCCTACCCTGTTTTGATCTCATCTGTAAACTAGTGATCAAAATGGAGATCCATCAGAACTCATCCAAGGGGGGAAGGAGGGCCTTGAGATCAGATGAGATCAGGCTTAGAAAAACACTAGGCTGCTAACAGACATATGACTGGATATCTGACAGTGTTGGACTGGGGCCAGAGAGATATTGTTGATTAAAGATATCAGAGGCTGGGGCCGGAGATTCAGCTCAGTGGTTCTGTCACCTGTCTCGCAAGCGCAAGGTCCCAAGTTTGATCCCCAGTACCAAAGATATCAAGGGCAAAAACTCATGAACAAGCAGGTTGAGGAGAAAACTTTGTAGTGACCTTGCACAACTCACTTCATCTCTCAGGCTCTCAGTTTTTCCTGAAAATGAGGGGAGTTAAATTAGATTATTTCTAAAGTTTCTTAAAGTTTCTGGGATTCTAAAAAAAGTAAATACCGTGAGGTAGGAGGGTATGGTATAGGCTTTGGAGGAAGACAAAGAGATCAAGGCAGCAGCTGGAGGTGCTAGAGAAAAATTGGGCCCTGAAGTCATCCAGGAGAAGGCCCTGCAGGCATAGGATGTGGGCCTGAAGCTTGGCTCCAAGAATAGGAAAGTCCTGGAAGCATAGAGATTCCCAAGAACAGCCTGGGGTAGACCAGGAGAAAGGAAGCAGTACTCAAGAAAAAAAACATTAAGAGAGAAACCATAAAGCTAAAGAAAATCTGCAGAAGCACCAGACCCTAATGTCAGATTTGGGTTACACAAAGCCCCACTGGTTCCCAGGCCACTAGTACTCATGCATATACTCCTAAGAATGCCTCTTGGGTGCTTTCAGGAGGCAGTCTTATGGCCTGGTACAGGAGGAACCATGTCAAAGAAGATAGGCCCCACTGCAAACCCTTGTTTTCCTCTATCATAATATTCCAACCCCCCATTTCCAAGTATGGACAGAGAAACATCGAAAAAGGCAACTTACTGCCTACAATATGGAAGGCCCTGGGTTCAACCCCCAGCCTTGGTGGGGAGAGGGAGGCAAGCAGCTCAGCTAACTTCTCCTCAGCTGTGGCCAGAATCCTGGCTCTTCCTAGCACCTGCTTCTCAGGCTCCAGAGGCTCTGTGTGCTCTGAGCAGATTGGTGCCAACTTGCCTTGAGAGAAGAGAGGCCTAGAGATAGATTTGGTTCTGGAAACTTCCACAGAAGCCTGATGAGTTCAGACCCTACTTAGTTCAGGAAATCCCTCACCAACTCCCCACCCCCAAGCACCTATCTTCCCAGAGATGTGCTCTGACCCTTCTGAGCTCCTAATGCTTCTAAAGATGTTGGGGCATCTGACCCCTGCTCTCTCACCTGCTTTGTCAGGGGAAGAATGGTCCAGCTAAGAATGGGTCAGGCTGGGGCTGGCCTCTCTTCCAGCTCTCTCATTCTGTATTTATGGAGATAGGGTCCCATGCCTGGTCAGAAGCAGAGCAAGATACAGCATGCCTTGTATAAGTCATTGATGACTGAATGTTCTTTCCCACCTCCAGCAAGCAGGTGGCCTGGCCAACTGTACCTCAGCACCATTCAGCTCTTGGAGCTCTGGATCTCCCTGGAAATTCAACATCCCAGACACTGATGTCCCTGACTGACTAGAGTACAATTTCCCAGGAACTGCCAAGGGTGGGGAACCAAGTGCCCAGGGACTAGACACTTAGCTTGGACACTCACTCCTCTGAGAAATTCAATCCAGCCACCACAGCTTAAGCCTGCTGTCCTCACTCCTCTTTTAAGGTCAGACCAACGTGGTCTGTAGGGAAAAACTCCTGGGTCTTTACTGCCCACCCACTGATGAAGTTTGTATGGCACAGGGCATAAGCAAGAAGATTGAATTTGGGCCAAACCAGGGCCCAAGTTGAAAGCCAAGAATAAAGAACAATTATTACAAAGAAATCAGGAATTCAGATTTGCAAGACTAACAAAGGCTACTTCTGCCTCCCAGTAGCTATTTCTCTTCAGTGATGCAAGGACTAATTGTACCTCCCTTCCCCCAGAAGTGGATAACTCACTGACATTATAGTCAGAGGGCCCTGGTGGGAACAATGGGCCATCACTGGGTTGTATCTTTCAAGGAAACCTCAGCCAGTTTGTCCAACAAGGTTTGTACATTGGCAAGAAACCAAAGTACCTTTAAGCCTACTCCTTCCTCAACTGTTGCCTACTGTCCTACCTTCTGGGGCAGACATAAGATGTGGGTGGCAAGGTTGGGAAACATTGTTTCCTCGCACCTGATGAATCTGCAGAGAGGGCAGTTCTGGAGCCAGCAGAGTGCTAGAAAGTGGCAACTTCCAATACCTCCTCAAAGGGAGGACAGGGCCGCAGAATCTCAGGGTTGGAAGGGATTTGCATACCTCATGTGACTAACTACCTCTCAAATGTCTGACACTCTTCAAGAACTCCTTTGTCTTCCTAGCCTCTGTTTGAATACCTCCCATGATAAAATTTCACTGCCCTCCAACCTCTGGGCAGCTGAGTTACAAAGGTCTTTATCACTCTTAAACCAAAATCCATCTCTCCCTGGCTTTTACCCTCCAAGTACTTCCCATGCTGGAAGCCTTGCTGACTCATTTCACTGGACTTTGCTTCGTCCTTGGATTTCCACACACTTTCAAGTGACCCAGCTATATACTTTTCTCTCCCAAATTAATCACAAGCCCCTCAAGAGCAGGACAGTGTCTTCTATTTTAACCTCTACTCTTCAATTCAGGGAACATGTGAATATATGATGTGATTTCTGCTTGTGTGACTAGGCCCATGCCCCCAGGAGCTGGCTGATCAATATGGAGTGATTAAAAGGACACATTGATTACTTTTCTACTCCAATTTTAGCCTTGAGGGTCTGGGCTTCACTGACCCATCACTCACCCTTAATCCTAGCTGCCTTAAGCTCATTTCCACCTCCCTGCCTCACAATTTACATGGAAAGACACTGAAGCTACTCCCTCTAAAACCCTTCCCTTCACAATTCTTGATATTGCTGAAAAATATTGAGGTCCTTTTCCAGGAAGACTTGGCTACAAAAAAAGAACATCTATACCACATGGTTGAATCCCTAGGACAAGAAGCTTCTTAAATTGCTCCCAGCTTTGATGAACAAGGTATGCACTCAGTTTCTTCATCTGTGGAATAGGGAGCAAAAAGTCCACCTCATAGGTTACTACAAAGATTCACTAACACACTTAAGAATGGTATAATCACTAAAATTAATGGTAGCTATTATCTCTGCTAATGAGAAAATTATCAACACCAAACTAACCACTATCAACACTGATATTTCAAATGCTTTCCTTCTGAGGAGCAGGAGTTTGCATGCATGTCTAATGAGTGGCAGAAGAGAGAACAGGGCAATGTCGTAGACTGTAGTGACACTAGACTGACCATCCTGCTGCCACCTATGGGGTCAGCTTTTCCAACTAGTCACCACTCCCTCTCTAGAAACCAAGTCTTAGTCTCTCCAAATTCCTGAAAGCAGCCATTAGGGAGACCTCCTTGGAGATAGAGGTGGATGCACCAAAGAAGAGACTTTTGCTGGACCAGTCCTTTTATTCAGTCTCAGAGCCTGCCCTGCTCTCAGGAACTGCCTCCCATTCTGTTCCCCTCCTCCAGCCTTTCATTCAGTCCCTAAGATGCAGCTGTCTCTTGCTGCTGCTCTCATAGCAGCTGAGCCAAAGGCAGCTGAGCAAAGCAGGGTGAAGAGATAAGGCCATTTCTGCCACACAGGGCAGCCTTCTTCTGGCTGAGCAGCTGTCAGGGGTGGCTTCTGGGTTACAGATTGTCTTCTTGGCCCAAGTATGCACCCTGCCTAATTTACCTAGATCTACTATTCTTCCTCTTGAAAGACCCACCATTTCAAACACCCACCAGAGTACTCTGACAGAAAGATATGTTAGAGAAAGATTCCAGCCAGAGAACCAAGTGTAATAGCTGAAAATACATCAGGAAGTCCAAAATGAATGTGGCAAGTTCTTCACTGTGTGAGATCATTCTGGGCAAAACAACAACAAAAAACACCAAGGGAGTCTGGCCTAAGTCTTGCCATCAAGACAAAGAGGACAGCAACACATTTTCCTGTCTCCCTTTCACAAGCCAAAGGAATAACCTCCCCAGGTCTCACAGTGAAACCAGGAACTCACTTCCACCTTGTGCTTCCAGGGGTTCTCACTGGGGCACAGCATACCACCCTTGCTCTGGGTGACTGTCTCGGTTTGCACAGGGCTGAAAGGAGGTTCTTGTAACACAGAATTTCAGTGCCAAACCTTTATGAATTAGTCAACCTTGCTTGTCCCCCAAATTAGCGAGTCACGGCTAGAAGTCATCAGTCTTCCGTCCTGCTCTCAAACTGGCTGCCCATAGTAACTTTAGATGAACAAAGGGCCACTTGACAGGATAGGATGGCTGCTTCCTAAGAAGCTATGTAGTGGGGGTCAAGCTGCTATGAAAAACCCCCTGAGGTGCCCTGTCCCATTTTCAGCTGCTCTGCTCCATTTCAATAATTCCCTTTCTTTTTCATAGCATGGTAGCATACACCTGTAATCCTAGTACTCAGAAGGCTAAGGCATGAGGATTATGAGTACAAGCCCAGCCTGAACTACACAGAGAGACCCTGTCTCAAAAAATACAAAGCGTGCTTGCTTCAGCATTGCATACACTAAAATTGGAACCACACAGAGAACATCAGCTTGCCCTCTGTGCAAGGATGACATGCAAATTCGTGAAGCAGTTCATAGTTTTTAAAAAATATAAACAAATGCCAGGCGTGGTGGCACACACCTGTAATCCCAGCAATTGGGAGGCTGAGGCAGAAGGACTGCTGTGAGTTCAAGACCAGCCTGGACTACACAGTGAGTTCCAGGTCAGTCTCAAATACATAGTGAGACCCTGTCTCAAAAAAAAAAACAACCCCTAAACCAAAAAAAAATATAAACAAACAAAAAGACAATTCCCTTTCCTCTCAATTTTGAGCTTCTATGCAAAGAAAGAGGAACAGGAGAAGCAGGAAAGACGGTTTCCAGGATTCCTTTCCGATAGGCAACAGCGCAGGAGCTTGTTATCATCCAGTAATGCAGAGACTCCTCAGGTTCCTCAGAGGCTTTGAATTTTCTTAGGAACCAAAAAGAAGCGGACTGTCCTGTCCTGTCCCATGTCCAATGACATGGCGCACTAATGACACAGAGGTCTGCCTCAGGTATCATTGAGACAGCCTCTTCTGGTTCCTGGCCTGTTTTCCAGAGTTGGTTTCTTGCATAATTGATAGTTACAGCAAGGAGGAAACCAGTTGGTCATCTGACAGCTCGAGAAGTCACATCCACGGTGAATCATCAAGTACCTTGAAGGCACAGAATATTGGGCCTGGAGTACCCCCTCTTGTCAAGAACTGCTTATTTTCAGGAACTCCCCAGAGCTGTGTGAGAAGGCAGCCCCCGATGACCCAACAAAGCACCAAAACAAACAAAGCCAAAAACCACATCATCAGGAGTGCTTTGCTCAGTCTACCATTCCCTCCTCTGGAGAGACTCTGGCCCTTAAGTGTCTCAATCCGGGGTTGAGAAACATCTATCTCTCCCACTCCTTGGCCCTTGAGGGGTCATTCAGAAGACACAAAGAGAGACATGAGGGTTGGGGATTTAGCTCACTGGTGCCACTGCCTGCCTCGCAAGCACAAGGTCCCGAGTTTGATCTCTGGTACCAAAAAAGAGAGAGAGAGAGAGAGACATGAGCTGAATCTGGCACCACCCCAAGCTGTGGACCCGGAGGCACTTGTGAAGCTTGCTCCATAAGCCAAGTGCTGGGGCTACACCACCAGAGAATTACTGCTGGGAATGAAACATGAAACAGTCAACCATTCCCAGGTCAAAGGAACAAGAGACCTTAGACACCAGCACCAGTATCTAGCCTGGGGGACAGGCTGGGGAAAGCCTAACTTGTTCATATTTTGCAGGAGACTACCTGATCTACTTTCAAGCCACCCTATCTCCAGAGAGCCAAAGAAGACTAGCAGCCCAGCTGCCTGGAAGCCTTTTCTTCCCAGCTTCTGGGGAACAGCTCTGCTTCTGAACAGGGCTAGAGAGCTGTAATTATCCAGACAGGATAAGAGCTATTTTGGGAAGGAGCTGTCTTGCTGCCAAGGCTTTTGACTTCCTAAACTAAAACAAGATGCAAAGAAAAAAGGGGTGAGAGTAGGGAAGAAGAGGGTGGAGCTTGCTCAGTCAAAAACATCAAATCTTGAATGAGGAGAAATAGCATCCCTTCCAAAAGGGGTAGACTTGTATCAAGGGGTGAGCAAGTGGCCAGATGGTAAGATATCTCCCCCTTGTCTAGACCCGCTACCTAACTCTTGCTGACTCCCTCTTTCCAAAGACCCTCCAAGTGTACTTAGTCCGTGTGTATGTGTGTGTGTGCACTTCAGGCTGGCCTTGAACTCACTATGTACCCCAGGCTGGCCTCAAATTCACAGTGGCCTCAGTCTCCCAAGTGATGGGATTACAGGAATGTGCCACCATGTCCCACTGCTGTTTGACATTTGAACACAGGCTACTGCATATTGTTGTTTAAATGTTTCCTGTGTATGCTTTACCTCCTGATCCAGGTGGTCAGTTTCTCAAAACCTAAGAAGGTGTGTTGTGAAATTCCCCAACAGCTGCTGGCAGAGTGTTAGGTATCTGAATAAAAATTACATATGGAAAGGAGAAAGGGAGAGAGACAGAAGGAAAGCAGAAAGAAGGAAAGGGGAGAAGTGGATTTATTATTTTGCATGGGTGACAATCTATAAAAGTGGCTGCTCCCATCTATAGCTGTGCTCAGGGCCTTGGGCTGGATAAGAACTCTTAGAGGGTTTAGTAGCCACACTCCCCGACACCTCCCCTTCAGCTGTCCTATTATGCAAGCTCAGGTTGCGCTCCCCACCCCCCATTTGGTTTCTATCTGTAGTCAACTGCTGTTCATCTTAGGCCAGTCAGCCTACTGATGAGACCCATTAGAGGCCACTGCTAAGCTTTGGGTAAGGCAGGAACATGGTAAGATAAAGAATGGAAGCAGGAAAAGCTTTGACCATCTTATCAAACATATGCCAAGAGCCAAAGTATTTATGGGAACTAAAAATGTACTGTGAAATCAGGACACTGACAAATTTAGGACCCAGAGCTGCCAAGAGCAGAGCCCACCCATGCCTTTCCAAACTGAGAACCCAAATAGTGTGTGACTCAGAAAAGCAACCCCTTTGTGAAGTGTCCCATGCAGGAGAGAGGAGAGCCAGGTGGGGACCAATCCAACCCATGGGCTGCCCAGAACTCTTATAGAGCATTTGGCAATATTCATCATCTTCCACATCATCTCTATTCTTTCTCTCCAGAGCTGCAGATAACTCACGTAGCACTTTTGTGCAAATCTCTCTCAGGGGGAGATGCAGCACAAGAAGTTCACAATTTAGCAAGTGGAGCACAAGTAACCTCCCCAACCACAGGGAGCAAAAGTGTCTCCCTCCACACCCTCTTCCATTACAGGACAGGAGCTGGACTTGGCTAGGGGGCAGGAACACAGAGGAAGACTGGAAGTAACTTCCCAGGAGCATTCTTACCTCTTCATCTGTTGTAATAAGAGTAGAAGCCAGCCATTCCCAGGGGGGCAGCAAATGGAATTCAGAAAGTGCCAACAGGAAGAGAAAAAGAGAATTTTACTAAAGATGCCCAGTGGAATTCAGCACAACCTGGCCAAATCCCTTCCTAGTAACAACAGCTATCATTTACTGAGTGCTCCCTATTGCCAAGTACCATGCTTTCCATGTAATAGCTTGGTTAATCTTCACAATAACCTTTGAGGAAGCCATGACAGCATGTAATAAAAGGAACTAGGGCTTGGAGAGGTAAAATAATGTACCCAAGGTCATGGTCAGGAAATAGTGGACTCAGAATTCAAACCCAGTAAGACAATTTCTGAATCTATACTTCACTACACACCTACTTTAGGGAGCTTGGCTTTCCCTTTTCTGCTTTTTGTTACCCATGGTTCAGAGCTCATGCATTCCGAGGGCTCTCCCCTACCCAGGAACTCCTCCATCCAGAGCTCAGACCTCTGATAGTCAGTCACAGCACCAGAGTTTAACTCGAACCACAATGCTCAAACCAAATACTCCCTGCTGCCAAGAGTCCCCGCCCTCCCCTGCCACCAGACAGTCCACGAGTACAAAGGAAACAGAGGGTCATGCAAGGCTGAGGACACTTCTCTTAAGGATTCTAGAGTTGCAAGAACCACTGGTGGTCTCAAGGGGACAGCCCAGACATCCCTGGAGATCTGTCTGAGCACCACCTATTAAATACATTCAAGGAACAGGGTGGGGGTTTTAGGAGAGCTCTGAGGAGCCAAAGAGACACATGAAAAGAGAGCCCCAACCTGAATTAGTGTGGACTAGCCCTGACAAGACTATGAAACAGGTAGTTTGCTTGGTTGGTTTGTTTGTTTTGCTTTGCTTCAGCATATGCCAAGTAACACCAGCTAAGCTAAAATAGCAATGAGGATTTAAATTGTCTTCATTCTGGAAGTGATTTCTCATTTAAAGTAGACTCCTGAAAACAAAACAAAAACATTCAAGTTCCCAAATGGATGGCTCTAATGATAGAATCTGAGGCAAGAGGAAAATTTCCTCTGCTCTTTCAGAGCACATACTCAAACTCCACGTCTATAATAGAAACATGGATGCCATCCTATCACCTATCTTGCTACTTCCCAGGGCCCACAAAAGACCCACAAGAGGAAAAAGTACAGACCTTTTAGCCACCAGATGATTCGATTTTGCATTTCCTCAGAGACATCTAAAAGTAACAGAGAGACTGTTGCTTTTTTCTGTCAGGTGACAGCTCTCCCCTCACTGCTTGTATCTCCCCTTTCAGCTTATGTCTCCACCCAAAGGTGCACTCAATCCTTGATCTCCAGGAAGCTCCTGCCACCTGTGACCAAGTATCACATTCCCACTCTCTCCCTTTTTCCACCCTACCTCTGTGCCACTCTTAATACTTTTCCCCTCCGGGAAGCCCAAGTCCCAGCTCATCTAGACCTCACCTATTCCACTTTGATGCCAGAGTATTTCCCCGAGACCCTTATCCTTTATAACAGCCCTTCCTAGCCCTCACCCCTGCTCAGTTCTTCATCTCCACTCTCAGAAATCAGCTTCAGACCCTGCAAACCACTACTACATTCCAGTGAAAAGTAGCATTGCCTGGAAGAGTTGATGCCTGACGCCTGTCACAAGCAACACCATTGATGTCATTAGCCTGGAGCTCAGAGACGCTGGCGGGAAAGGCATGGAACACTGGGCTCATGGATAGGAGTGGCTTTGGCATTGGCAGCAAAGTAGCCCTGAGGCCAAGAAGAGGGGGCTTTTCCTGCCCACCCCAATGTCCCATCTCATTAAATCAGGGTTGCACCTGGGCAGTCTCCTTCACATACCCAAGAAGAAAGCATTAAACCTTTGATTGAGCTGTTTGTTGATGTGCTTGGAGTCCTGTGGCACTTCTCTCAATGGTAACTGGCTTAAAGACTCCCTTGGTGACAGTGGTAGTGGTGGGCTTGCCTTCTCTCTCTGGAATATCAGGTCCTCACAGAAAGGAATTGAGTCCATTTCATAAAGAGACTCTGAAGTGTCTAGGGGGATAGGGGACTTAGGCTCAAAATCGGGTGTTGTTGGCCAGCTTTGGGGCATTTCAACTTGAGGATTCAGTAAGGCCCACCACGAGGAGTCAGGACCATACTTAGGTAAGGACCGAGGGGGTAAGGGCTGAGGAGTCAGTTCCAGTTCTGCATGAATGGAGGGCTTTCGGGAGGGTTCTGGATACCTGACTGCAGGTCCTGAGCACATGTAGTTAGTTTCTGAGGGTCTTTGGATTTGCTGTTTATGGATGGACTCTGGAGTGACATTCATGAGAGATTTTCGAGGGCTGTCGGACACTGCTCGAGCTGTAGCACGAAAAGTTGACTGCACTGGCTGTCCTGGTAAGGAGGACATGGTGACCCTGCGGGTGACTTCATTGTCTCGGATTGAGGATCTCATGCTGGACTCCACATCTGGTGATATTAAGACCTTCAAGGAGGGCCTGGTCTCGGTGGAGACACAATGTTTGTAGAGAGATTCATGTTTTGAATGTTCAGGAGGAACTCGATGTCCACCATCTAAATCTCTAAGAACAGAGAGTTTGAGGGATGATGCCAATTTCATATTCCTATGTAAGGCCTTAGGTTCTGAAAGAATTGAGGTACGAGGATCCATTTGTGACTCTTGGCCAGGACTCTTTCTATGAACTGCCTGATGGTCTGTAGAGACCCGGCTGCTGCCATGCTCTGGGATAGTGGGACTCCTTGGAGATCTGACCTCACCAGTCAAAATCTTTCCAGTGGGCTCTGTTTGTACTGCTTCATCCTTTGGGTAAGATGAAATCCTACGAGGAACTCTGACCCCTTGGGGGTTCTGGACCTTGGAAGGTGGGTCCTCTTCTTGTACGTTTTGTGATTCTAAAGTATCCTTCTCATCTATGAAACTCAAGCGGCGGGAGGATTTAGCTTCTGGGGTCAAGGAAGTGTAACAGCCAACCTCACGCCCTGGCTTGATCTCACCCGCTCTTCGAGTTGCTTCCTCTTTGACATTACGATGTATGTTTACAGGATGGGGAGGTGCTGTATGAACTTGCTGGCTCTTTTGCTGAGGAATGGGAATGCGTGGTCGGGTCTCAGTTCCCCGAGGGGTGGATGCTGTATAGAGGCTGGGCCCTGACTGTGGGGACACAGCGTGAGGAGAGTGTGATGCTGAATGGGTAGTAGGAAATGCAGCTTCGATTCTTTGTGGGGGAGGACTCCCAGAGACAGCGGCACTTCGCTGGCCCGTGGCAACAATGTACCTGTGTCCCCGCTGGGAGGTGGAGCTAGTTAACTCAGGCCCTCTATGTGCTACCTTGGACCCAGATTTATTTGTCCTGAGTATCTGAAAGACTGTGCCCTTCTGTGTAGATGCCATATTTTATCGGCTGGCTTGTCTTCTGGATTCTACTGAAGCCTTATTTTTACCCTCATTTTTAAAAGCTGCTGTTCTTGGGCTCCCATCAAACTGGCTGTTGTTCTAAGAGTGTGTCAAAGAATGCCCTTAGCTACTTCTCTGTCTGATGATGTCATAAAGGAAGGAGCTTCCTATTAAACATCCTCTCATACAGACATAATTCTTCAGAGAAACCCAAGCAATACCCAAGAGGAAACTGAATTTATCTTTGGACTCGAGACTACCAAGCCTTTGGACATGTTCTAAACAAACTTGGAATTTCCTCATATAAAGAAGTCTCCAGGCCCTTCCTTACTCTCCCCAGGTAGTAAGTAACAGGATTTCTCAAGGACTCATCCAGAGAAGTCTGCCAGAAAATCCTTTGAAAGCTAGGCTATTCAAGGTTATCATGTCATGTTAGCACCAGATTTAATAGGTCATTTTGTATTGCACAAAGTTGCCCCAATTTTATTTGAAACTGCACCTTATACAAGTCAAAAGATAGAACACCAGCCTTTTTTGGGTTTCTAAGGTGGTTTTCATGATTGTGGAGTAAAAGAAATCCAGATTGCTAAGATCATAAATTCTCAAATTCTTGGTCCAGGTATTATCACACAAGGGATTTGAAATTAATATTGTTTTTTAACATAAATGACAAGTTGTGCACAAATGATGTTACCTAAATTGTCTGAGTCTTAGTTTCTTCACTGGGAAACCAATGCCTGGTAAGTGGCTATTACACTATAAATGTTAATGTCTTTTCTTGTGATCTTGTGTCAGCAATTCCACCATCAGAGACTCTGGTTACTCTCTTGATTTTTGAAGAGTGACCTCCCAATTTGGATGACAATTCTAAAAAGGGGATTCTTACCTTTTACATGTCCCCCACCTGCTCTTTTGGACACAGACACCATCATATCCAACATTCTATTACTGACTCTGAAAGGGCATTGGGGTTAGGGATGTCAGCCTCATTTTTCTATGCTTTTATATTAACCACTCTCAATTTTTCTTCAATAAAATGGATTAAATTAATGGCTAATTATGATATTCTAGTGCTGCCTCCCACTGATTCAACATTTAGGTATTTCTAAATCCTTTTTACTTCCCCAAATTAATATGATTTTCAAAATATACAAACTTGAAATCCCATGAAAGGACCACTTTATTATTTTAATAAGCATTTTTCCATGTATCTATGCATTTTCCATATTTATTTATAAAGTTTCATGGATAGGATACTATTATACCTAGTAGCATACTCCTACTAGCATTATTCTAAAATACATCATAGATACCTTTCTGTGTTAATAAATTCATGTCTGGATACGGGTTATTTCCAATTGTTTGATATTATTAAAAATGTTACAATAAACATCCTTTTATATAAATACATCTTTGTGTACAGTCCAATTTTCTCCTTGGGATAATAGTTCGTAATACTGGCTGCATATTAGAATCCCCTGGAGAGTGCCCATGCTCTGCCTCAGCTGAAGTAAATCAGATAATTTAGGGGTGAGGCCTAAGTGCCAGTATTTGTTAGAAACTCCTTAGATTTGTTAGAAACTCCTTAGATACCTGTAATGTACAACCAGGTCTAAGGACCACTGCCTTAAGAGAAGGTCCTCTCTTCTAATCCTTTCTTTTCTTTTCTTTCTTTCTTTCTTTCTTTACTTACTTATTTTTTGTGGTACTGGGAATCAAACTCAGTCGCAGTACCACTAAATTAAATCCCTGGCTATAATCCTCTCTGAAGTGTGCTATGTAGCCAGGTGTGGTGGTGCACACCTGTGATCCCAACACTAGGGAGGCTGAGGCAGGAAGATTGCTGTGAAATTCAAGGCCAGCCTGGGCTACATAGTGAGACTCTGTCTCAAAAAAAAGAAGGATTAAAGCTCCTAAAATAAAACAATAAAAAAAAAAAAAGAGATGCCATGCTGAGAAGGAAAACTCAGCATGAAGTTTCCAGAAGGAAAACTGGTCTAGGACAGGAGGGGGATGTCACTTTTAGATCAACAGGACTAAAGTGAAAAGAATGGGTGCAGAATAGGTCCACCTCCAGTTCAGGTTAGACTGCTTCACCAAAAACTGTTCTTCTGTTCAATGGAGATAGAGGTGGTCATGTTAGGAGTTTTGGTGGTGGAAAGCTGAAGGCTTCTATTTTCTTTGTAAAATTGGAAATGAAGTCATCTGTTGAGTGTTAACAGGAAGTGAGAGATGAAGGTCTGAAACAGCAGATGGAATGGGAGAAGCACCCTGAAAAACAGTGGGGAGGGGCTGGGGATTTAGCTCAGTGGTTCCAGAGCCTGCCTCACAAGTGCAAGGGCCTGAATTCCATCCCTGGTACCAAAAAAAAAAAAAAAAAAAAGTGGGGAATATGCTCCCTGTCTCACAAACACAAAGTCCCAAGTTCGATCCCAGTACAAAAAAAAAAAGGTGGGGGGGCCGGGAATAAAGCTCAGGGGTACAGTGTCTGCCTTGGCAAGCCCGAGGCCCTGAGTCTGATTCCCAGTACTGGAAAAAAAAAAAACAAAAAACAGTGGGACTATCATGTGCAAGAAAAGGATTAATGTATATAAAGTACCTGGTATGTAACAGTTGTCCTATGATATAAAACAATAACCACCAACATTATTATGCCTAACATTGCCCAATATTTCTCAGCCAGATAGAAGTCTACCCTGTCAGATTACAATCCTTACCAGCCAGTTTGGTGTAGGATCTAAAGCCTTAACTACTGACTAGTCCAATTATTTAAATACAGGATGACCAGAAATTATGTGTTTTCATTAAATTTTTTTTTTTTTTTTGGTTTTTTGAGACAGGGTCTCACTATGTAGTTGAGATTGACCTGGAACTCACTATGTAGCTCAGGCTGGTCTTGAACTCACAGCGATCCTCCTGCCTTAGCCTCCCGAGTGCTGGAATTACAGGCATGTGCCACCACGCCCAGCAAATGAATTTTTTTTTTTTTTTTGGTACAGGGGATAGAACTCGGGTCCCTGCACTTGTAAGGCAGGCTGCAGAACCACTAAGCTAAATTTCTGGCCCTCATTAATTTTTATAAGATAACAAGAATTATAAAAAAATAATTTTATCAAATTTATTCCATACAAGAATTGACTGGTTGAAATGACACCTCCCTGAGCAATGATCGTAGTAGTCAGTATGCAAACAAACGCACTGTCTGAATGACGCTCGGGGTAAATTGTTAAGTGGTTAATACATACTAATAGATAACACCATAACTCACCACGTTGATATGTCTCTTATTAGTCTTCATATTTTAACATATATCTATTTTGTCTCATCAGTTAGAATAAATTGTTTGAGAGGCAACTGTAAGTCTCCATATCTCTCAAAAGTTCTTACACATATTATTTATAAACTGATTTGTTTCTGATGATCCTCTGGTTATAATGGCAAGCAACTATTTCCTTGCTTTAAAATAGCCAAATAAATCTGTACCTTCCCATTTGATCAGTGCAGGGTAAAATTTCCGGAGGCTAAGGAGTATGAATATGACCATCCACAACAGGAACTATTTTAGTTTTCAAAAACAAAAGACCTTTTCTGTACTCATCAAAATACAATAAAATGTGTACTGGAAAGTACTGCACATGCAGAAGTACACAGCTTTCAAGAGAAGTTTCCTATTTCTATGTAAAGATTCTAAACTGGAGGTAATGAAGCATATAAATCCTCTAGAAACCAGACTAAATCATCTGACTAGTAGTCATAAGAGGCTAAATTAGACAAAATGTTGTGATCTCTATCTCACCCAATTTTATTTCCCTAATACACTCATGATGTAAAGTATATAATCCAAAATATATGGAGACAGTATCGTTCACCTTAGAGTTCTAAACACCTTAGCATTTTATGGTTATCTCCTAGAGATAACGGGAAAGGCAACATGGCACAGGAATATGGCAACTTCAGCTAAGTGGTTGAGTGGTATTTGTTAGAAAATGAGGACAATTAATGCCAGTTTGTATGATGAATCATAGCAGTAGCTGCCTATGTGTCAAACTTATAATAGGAATTGAAGGCTCTTTGGGTGGCAGGTCCTTTCCCTCAACTCCCAGACTCAAACAAAGAAATACATCTTACACAACTGCAACCTAACTGGTAGGAAAAGGAACACTTTACTATATAACAGAAGTAAAGTTTTCAAAAATTTACATCAACAAAATCAAAAAACCATACTGGGTACAATTATAAATTTTTTAAATTGCAGCTATCTCACAATTTTCAGGAATGTGATTGGAAACAAATCGGATGCTGCCTATAGAAAGAGTCAAGCCATCACGACTACTATAGCAGCTGAACAATGTGTGAGATATGGAACTTGGATTGCTGCCCTGATAGCAACTAAAGCAAATGAGAGAAGAAAGGAGCTCACAACCAGGATTCTCAAAATCAGGCTGGAATCCATCTATGATCCAGTTCCAGTCAGTCTGACAAGTCACTCTGATCCAGGACAATTATCCTGTGCAAACATGTTTTAAAGGACAAAGAAGGGAGCTTCAAGGTGATATGTACATTTATAATTCCTATTATTATTTGTGGTGCTAAAAATCAAAACCAGGGCATTGCAGATGCTAGACACACACTTTATTGCTGAGCAACACCCCCATCTCGGTATGTACAATTTTAAAGACAAAAACAATATACCTTATATTCAACTAAATTCAAGGGAAAAGAATTTTGTTCTTTATAATCAAGGGAGAGAATGATAAACAGTGAATCATGGAAATGTAAGGTAACTGCAAAGCAACTAACAGCATCTTCTGTACTCCTTCGGTATGTAAACTGTTCTTGCGCTGATTCTACCACTGATTTAATCAAAGTTGGCAGTGATTTCATTTTATAATTTAATTTACTGTAAACATATAACTGTAGGTTAAGCAACTTGGTCTGAATTTCAAGTCTTTGTTTTCAGTGTGTGTTGACACTAATAAATGTTTTAAGTCTGCTCATCCTATCACTAAACAATAACTCTGACTTGCAAACATAGTATCTCATTGTCTAGCTGTTTCAGACCAACCCAGTAGCTTCCAAAAATGGAGGAAGAAAAAAAAAGAAACAACCTGATTACTTTGTAGGTCAAAGAGTGCCAGAATTCAGAATTCATATCAGTATTCTCTCTAATGTAAACTGTTTTACCTACGAAAGTTGTTCTATTATGTAAAGATAGGATCTTTCTAAAAACACAGTTAATAGCTTTGCCTCCTAACATTCTACAGCTCCCTGCCATAGCAATGGGCATTGATGACTAATTATCTTCCCAGTATATTCAATACTATCAAAACGCTTACAAACACTGGGCCCTGTGCCAGTCAGAATTTAAGGAGTAAAAATGTACCCATGGATAATACAGTGAAAGATGCCTTTATGAAGAGACTGCATACAAAGGCATAGCTGGAGTTAAAGGGACAAAGAAGAAATTGCAAGGCATCCAGGAATGGGCAGCAGTGGGAAGCCTAAGTCTCAAGAGTGGGTTGGGGGCCGGGATTTAGCTCAGTGGTTCCGCCGCAAGTGCAAGGACCTGTGAGTTCAATCCCTGGTACCAAAAAAAAAAGGGTGCTTGGGAAGACAATTACTAGAACTCAGGAAGGACACCTGGAACTGGGAAGGACAGGCTGCCACACAGAAGCTGTACTTGGGGAGGGACAGCACTTCTTCCAGACACAAGGAACCAAAATAGTAAAGGAGGGGAGGTAAACCCTAACTTCTCTCCTGCCCTTTGATCTTCTGCCGGAGCCTCGCACTGGTCAGAAAGAAGCCAGGGGGACTCAGTCCACTGGGGCCAGCATCCTCTGCACAAAATCAGACAGAGAAAGGAAGACAATAAGAAAGGACTGGGGAAGGGATAATAGATGATCTGAAAGAGTTAAATTCCAGAGTTAGAAGTCACTAAATTCCTGAGTTAAAAAGAATATAAAACATAGAAAGGCATCATTTGTAACTGGTATATTAAAAGCCTAGGATCTATAGCAAAATGATTTTGAAATTAAGGTTGAGCTCTAATTTTCAGATTACTATAGACCCCAATTAAATTCTACAATATATTATTTGTATTGGATTCTGCAACATCTGTGTGAACTAAACTTAAAACTCTTTTGCAGATATTAGACAATCAGAAGCTAAACACTGCTACACAATGTGCAAGATGCTGATGATATTGGCCAACAGATTGTTTTTGAAAGCAAACTTGATGAAGCTATGAGGAGTCATTAAAAAATATGGTGAAAGTTTAAATTTTTAAAAATTTATTGCAGTATGGAGCATGCCTGTAATCCCAGCACTCGGGAGGCTGAGGCAGAAGGATCGCTGTGAGTTCAAGACCAGCCTGGGCTACTTAATGAGTTCCAGGTCAGTCTCAACTACATAGTGAGACCCTGTCTCAAAAAAAAATTATTGCAGTAAAAGACCTATGGCTATAAGTCTTTTAATAATAATAATATAATAATATATTTATTATATAATTAATTGTATTGATTATATCTATTATATAATAATGTAATAATAAGTCATTAATCCTCCTCAAAATATTCTCCTTTGCCTTGAACACACATCCCATCAATTTTGTCACTTTCTGAAGCAGTTCTGGTTGTCCTTTTCTCTCTCTCTCTCTCTCTCTCTCTTTTTAAGATAGGATGTGGCTATATAGTTCAGGCTGTCCTTAAACTCACTATATATCCCAGGCCGGCCTCAAACTGATTCTCCTGCCTCAGCCTCCTGAATGCTGGGATTACAGGTGTGTGCCACCACATCTGGCTTAGAAGTCTTCTTCTTTTTTTTTTTTTTTT